ACAGTCGATTATTTTCCTCAAATTTGACTGTGATTGGTTCTTAAGGCTTAAAGTTTACTACACCTATTGTAGATCGGGACTAAGTCTTTAAGCCTTTAAGCCTTAAGAAATTGACCAATCACAGTCGATTATTTTCCTCAAATTTGACTGTGATTGGTTCTTAAGGCTTAAAGTTTACTACACCTATTGTAGATCGGGACTAAGTCTTTAAGCCTTTAAGCCTTAAGAAATTGACCAATCACAGTCGATTATTTTCCTCAAATTTGACTGTGATTGGTTCTTAAGGCTTAAAGTTTACTACACCTACTGTAGATCGGGACTAAAGCGTCTTCTACAATGGCAGTAGTAGTAAGAAATAAGCAGTAAGTAAATAGACCAATCACAATCGGTTATTTTTGAAACGTGAGAATGGAATTGGTCAATTTGCTTACTGCTTATTTCTTACTACTACTCCTACTGCCATTGTAGAAGACGCTTAAGGCGTCCGCCGTACAGATCGCGTCAGATTCGTAGACACGCGACCTCGTTCACATTCATGCACTTTTAGCACTTTCGGCGCGTTAGTGAACTTTTGGTGTACGTGATTGACAGCGCGCGCGTCTGCGATCTTTTCGTATCGAGCAACTGCTATAAATACAACGTTCCGTATTCCATATGTCTTTCGCTTGTGTCCTGTGAGTCTCCTAACGGAAATAAGTATTAGATTGTCGAAAATAACGATGTGCAGTCATCAGAACATATTGTAAATACATTATTACGGAGTAATCTCCTCCTTTTTTCGAGTGCTATTCGGGATACCGATTTGTCATCATTTTCAATGATTGTCAAATAATTTTTGGATCTTTTTATCCCCCTCCCTCCGCTTATGAAGTGTCCCGAATTCAGGGCTGGGAAATCTGGTCACCTTATTAAAGGGCGTATTTTCAGTCCCACGGGAGCAAATTCACTATTTATCGAACCAAAGTACGTTTTTACATATTTTGCATGATGCTTTATCTAAATAAATGTTAATTTTTTTATATCTCCTGTTCAATCCTTCCTTGGGACACTTAATTGTTGCATTTAAATTTATGGGCTTGAGCGAAATATATCCATTGATGTGCACTTAGTCGTTATAATTTTTGATTGCATGTCTTATCCACCAGGTATGTATTTCCAGGGGACTAAAGGAGTGTATTTTTAGTGCCACGACACGGAAACTACTCATAAATTCACTCTATTTGTCGAATTAAATTACGTCTTTATACATTTGTTGCATTTTTATCCATATAATAGATTTTAATTTTTTTATATCTCCTTTGTTCAGGTATTAAGTATTGTATTACTCAATAAATATGACACACAAGCGTTTTCAGATAGTACAAATATTAACCACGACTTCAGCTGACTCTTCTCACTCACGTTTTAATTCATTTGATGTTAATCTACGATTTTTCAAACAAATTCTATCGAGAACTCCGTCGTCTACTGCAGTTGTACAGCATTTTCTTATTTTACTCTTCGTTAACTAAATTTCTTGCTATTTTTTTTATAAATCCTGCCAACAACATTTAATCCCGACTACTATTTCGCACATAGAAAACTTTTCTTTAAATAAAGCAACACTCTTTATTTTCAAACTCAATTCAATATTTTGGAACGTGCATAAACGAAAGATATATTCGTCCAAAAATAACACTCACTCGCGTAATGTAAAAACAGATAATACACGACAATCATCAGTGTTCACGATTTCTGCATGGGTACTAATTAATGAAGAAATACAGGTGCCACAATATTTGACTTACATCGAGTATTTAAAGAGTATTTTCTCGTGGAAATCTTGAAAATTATTCATTCGTATGAATAATTTCGAGATAATGCAATAATTAATACTAATCTTGTATGTAACTTTTATAATGTTATAAGTTTTATATTTTCATGGTATCATCACTCTATAAAATTACTGGAAATTGGGTCAGATATATTGCTTCTGCCATAAAGTTATACGTACAAAATTGCGATGTTCAGTATTAAATTTCTCATAAACGGTGCAAAAAAATCGCATGAAATTACGAATTTTAATTACGAATATATTTCACTGCGATAAATGTTACGTACAATTTTTGTGTAATTTTAAGCACTCAAGTTTACAAACTCTTTCATTAGCAACTATGCGCGCGTGCGTGACCCAGATTCGTTCGCCATGTTGAGTCGACTCTTTAAAGGGCGATTGCTTTCCCTTAATAATTATTTTCGCGAAGAGCAATCTTCAATTTCGCGGAGGAAATTCGACCAATCTCGAGATTCTCAAAGTTCGTCGTCGAGCTGGAGTTTTGCGACGAAAGACGTTCGCAGGAAGATGTCACTTGACGGCCTACCGCGCAATCAATTTGCTCGCGGTCGTAATTTTACATAAATATGTAATTTGGTCGGCTTATCGTTGCTTACGGACGATAAGCGAGCGAGTGATAAGCGCGCGCGATACTCGACGAATCGGCTGGTGCGTATCTTGTCACTCGCGTATCTGCTTCGTTGCGAATTCAGCTTCTGCCGATTGGAAAATCACGTGAAAAAGCGTTTATCTTTTCCCTTCTAATGTCCTCGCGATCGACGTGCTCCCTTATTGTTTTCGGAAAAAATCCACTGACAGATCAACAATCCTTAATCACTATCGTTTTTTATTTTTTATCGTTTTTATGTTTTCGTTACCCAGATAGATGTCTATTTCCGAGTTACCCAAGTAGAAATTTTGATCCTACTTTTAGCCTTACTATTCTATTCAACACTTATTTTGATATTCTGAAATCTACATTAACCTCTTATGATTTTATTTAATCTATCCGAGTCAAAATTTTGATCCTACTTTCAGTCTTACTATTTTATTCAATACTTATTTTGATATCCTGAAACCTACATCGGCTTCCTTTGATTCTATTTAACTTATCCAATTCGAAATTTTGATCCTACTTTTAGTTTTACTATTCCACTCAACACTTATTTTGATATTCTGAAATCTACATTAACCTCTTATGATTTTATTTAATCTATCCGAGTCAAAATTTTAATCCTATTTTCAGTCTTACTATTTTATTCAATACTTATTTTGATATCCTGAAACCTACATCGGCTTCCTTTGATTCTATTTAACTTATCCAATTCAAAATTTTGATCCTACTTTTAGTTTTACTATTCCATTCAACACTTATTTTGATATTCTAAAATCTACATCAACCTCTTGTGATTTTATTTAACCTACTCGAGTCAAAATTTTGATCCTACTTTCAGTCTTATTATTTTATTCAACACTTATTTTGATATCCTGAAACTTACTCTCTTGATTCTATTTAACTTATCCAATTCGAAATTTTGATCTTACTATCAGCCTAACTATTCCACGTACTTTAACATTCTAAAGCCTATAATACAAAAAATTTTGACGTTAAAAGAAATGAAAAGGGAAATTTCGGACATCATCAGAGTCAAAGGAGTAAATCATTAGAGTTAAAGCTACTTTGCTAATTTAGCTCCTATTGTGTTGTAGAATTCAAGGTTTAACATAGGGCTAAAATTTCAACTCGGATTTGACGGCAAATTAGTCGATTTGCAAAGATTGCGGCTCTTACGAGTGATTCATATGGCACTTGTATCTATTACGTAGAATGGCGAAATAAAAATACGAAGAGGATGATCAAAACAATATGCCGTGTAAAATGTAATAACCTGAGAACAACTTTCAGTAAATTTTCTGCTGTGTCAATGCAACTAAAAATTTGCATCACTGTACGATGTAAATTTAATCTGGCACATTGGGATAATTTTTCATCTCACGCGACTTTTAATTTTAAATTATCCATAAACTAGTGGAAACGCGCTACAAAAGTTATGGTTGATGGGAATGCAACGACTCCAAATGTTATTGAGCCATTTCAATTGCCTGTCATGCAACACATAGTCAAAGTTACTATAGATTCACTTTGAAGTTCATTGTGTCATATTAAGATGTCAAAGTGTGAAATAAAGATGATTTTTCCTTTGGCTTTTTCATCAAACATAACGTGTAAAAAAAGTTTTATGTAAGTAGCTTATTTATTTTTGGCTGCATTATACGTGATGTACATTTCTGTATCGGCAAATTCTAATCACGAACACAGAAAAAAATTGAAGTATAGATAATCTTTGTAATAATTTTAATAGTCTCCTCATTACATAACAGATTCATACTACAAAAATTTGAAACTATTAATCAATTTGTTCGACTGAAAAAACGATGTACTCTCTGCATACCCAATAATTATACTGTTCGACAAACTGAAGTATGTAATATTTCTTAAAGATCCAAGTATTGGCAAGAAAATCCTGGAGTGTTAATTCCTTAAAATCCTTCAGAGGAAGCATTATGTAAACTGACGTTTCTCTTTATATCTGCAACAAAACGAGACACTTTGGTGAGCATTCGCGATCACATTTCTGCACGCGATTCTATTCCGCACGGACTCGAAAGTGCACTCACTGTCTCCTGCATATTTTTATTGGCACTTTTGCGGAATGTGAATGAGCGAGAGTGAAAACGGAGCCCGGTGTGCCGGATTGCCCAAAACGTATGCGTCGTACGAAGGGATGAATGATCAATTCAGCGCACACACAGCGCATTTGCCTCGTGGGTGCGAGCAAAAGAGCGCCGCCGAGTTCCCGTCATCGGCCGTCTCGCGTCGTGACAGCCGCGAAAGCCTATCCGGGTGGCTCTTCCCCGTCGCTTCCCCCCACGTCGCTCGCGAAAAAGGAGAGCCAGAAACCGAGCCACCGACGACGTTTCACCGCGCAGGCACGCGAAATACGCGACGTCGTATCACTCGTCACAACTCGCGATCACGCCCACGCGCTCGCTCGCTCGCTCGCTCGCTCGCTCTTCAAGTTCGCTTACGCGAAGGTCTCGGGAGGTGGCCGCGAGAGAAGCTTCCCGAAACGATCGCTCCGGAATTCCTCAAGCCTCACCGTCTGGTTACTGAGCGAATACTCACGTGTCTGTCGCGGACGTTTCTCTCTTCCTGTCTTCCGGGCGATGAGGACGAGATCTCACACCTGTCGTGATTTATCCACACTGCGGTAGTCCTCAGAATTGAAACGGAACTTCTCCTTTTCACACTCTCCCTTCCTCCTTTCTCTCTCTCTCTCTCTCTCTTTCTCAAACACTCGCGCTCCGATGATCAGGACGAGGAACGAGGGAGAATCGACGAGCGGGTAACGGCGGAGAGGGAGGGTGTAGCAAGTACTTCACTTGAGTATTCCACGGGGTCGCGCACGGGGTGAGACGCGGTGAATGCGCACTCGCGTCGCAGTGTTCACGTATGCGTATGTATAAAAGTAAAAAAAGAAAAACGCGAGATGTGCTGCTTGGATGGGGTGGAAACGCGGGTGCGATGCTCCTCTCTCTTGTCCTCTCCTCTGCTCCTCCTCTTCCTCTCTATCCCCCTATCTCGCGCGTTCCCTCGATCAACCGTTCGGCCTTCGCCACAGAGGCGTCGCGCGACGAGGTCGTGTCGCGGCTCCGTGCGACGCACTGGAAAAGAACTCCTCTTGTCGCGCGCACGCGTACACGTACGTAAACCGTGTCCCCGTGGTAGTTTCCCGCGGTGGTGCGCTGCTGCGCGTGTGTGTGTGTGTGTGTGTATACGTCTCGTTCGTGGGCGAGCGTTTTATCGCTCTTCCTTCCTTCCTAGCTCGCTCGCTTGCGCGCTTCCTACCTTCGCCCAGGCGATCCGTACCGACGACGCGCGAAACAACGCTCGCGAGTGCCGCTGCCAGACTGAAACGCGGGGTAACATGTGCGGGCTCTTACATAGCGCGGCGAGTGGTGGGATGGGAGAGGGGAACGGCGCGGCGACGTAGAAGCCGCCGAGCGCGGCTGGTAGGGATGGCCCCACTCCCTGAGGTGTGAAGTCGGACGGAGCGGTGAGCTGGCAAGGACGCGCGCGGGCTCCGACGACGTGCCGAGCGCTCGCCCTCGGCGCAGTCGACTCGTCGCCGTCGCGATGGCCACTTGGTTCCTCCTCGCTGCACGTGCCTATCTGTCTCGAACGAGAGTGTTTCCACGATGCAGGAGACCGATTTCCGCTGTCCCTTTCTCTTTTCCAGTCACTTGCCCGCTTCGGGATGCTTGTCTCCTCATGCTTCTCGTTTTTACTTTCCGCGCGCACATCCGCCGTTTGATGCACTTCGTTCTGACGGACTTTTTGTCAGACTGGTGGAAAGGGTCTGTTGTGTCCGCCGAGCAGAGCGCAGAGAGGACGGAATTGTCGAATTATTTCGAGGGATTCGTTCAGTTTCCACGAATAAAATAAGCAACATCGACTTGGTAGTTTGTCAATAAAACTTTCTACGAGAACCCGATAGAGGAAAACGACAAATCTCTCACGCTGACTCAACATACTTATTATGTAATTGCTGCATTTAATGCAACCGTCCGCGCTCAGAAGCAGATTTATTTTCGAACACTTCCAACTGGGAAATCGACGGAGCACCGTCTCGTCGCTTCGTTCAGCTCCGAGTTGCGGTTCAACTTACGGGAACTTCGGCACGAAGCGAGACGCTTCAATCCCGGCAAGCTCGCAAACAACTTCGCATATTTGTAGAAATTTAATTGAATATGAAAAGAGCAGCGCGCGCCTCCCTTGAGATGCAGGCCTCGCTTTGAAGCGCGACCACGGGAATCGCTGAAAGGCAAAGTTCGAGGCTCGACAGCGGCTCCTCGTCCTCGCGGCTACAACTTCGCGGCGTTACAACACGGCCGAGTAAACAACGCCAGCTAGGATGTGATGTGTGTCGCGCGCGGACTCCTTTAATTTCTATTTTCTACCACTACGACTTGGCAATACGCGCTTGGCCGCGCGACGCTCGGTGAGCGCGAATCAAAGCGTAACACGAGATGAGAGGAAAATTACCGGCGCAGGAAGATGCGTATCGGAACTTCCGCGATGAACTAAGACGTCGCGCGCGCGCGCGCGCGCGTGAAGACGATGGCGAGTAGGCCAGACGCAGCGTTTGCTGATTGCTGGATGAAGCCACCTAGATGGTGAAATCGAAACATCTCATCTATGTCCAGATGATAAAGATATACAGGGTGTTCCAGATCACTTTCACAATCTCTTGCGAGGACGTAAAGCGGATTGAAATGAACACAAAAGTCCAATACCGTTTTGCGATATTCGCAATAAATCTCGAGATATTAATTAAAAAAGATTGGTGAATGGACAGGCGCGATGTGATATATGAGCTGCAATTGCGCCGTCTGCCGTTGTATACTTGTACATTAAGTCAAACTGAGCAAAAAGTCCTCTATCATTTTGCAAATAACAACATAGATTTTTAGATATTAATTAAAGAAAATTTGTGAATGCTTGAGAAAAACGTGAATGCTGCGTATATTGTTTTATTCTATTGGCATTTGTTATAACATATATACAGAGTATCCCGGATCACCTTCACAATCTCTCGTGAGGACGTAGAGCAGATTGAGCTGAACACAAAAGTCCCATACTGTTTTGCGATATTTGCAATAATAATCGAAATATTAATTAAAGAAGATTGGTGAATGATCACGCGCGATATGGTAGATGAGCTGCAGTGGCGCCGTCTGCCGTCGTATACTTATACATTAAGTCAAACTTAACAAAAAAGTTCTTTACCATTTTGCAAATGACCACATAGATTTTTAGATATTAATTATAGAAAATTTGTATATTATGATACACAATCATGTAACAATCTTCTTTGATTAATATCTAAAAATCTATGTGGTCATTTGCAAAATGGTAGAGGACTTTTTTGTTCAGTTTGACTTAATGTACAAGTATACAACGGTAGACGGCGCAATTGCAGTTCACCTATCATATCGCGCGTTATCATTCACCAATCTTTTTTAATTAATATCTCGACTATTATTGCGAATATCGCAAAATGGTATAGGACTTTTGTGTTCATCTCAATCCACTTTCCGTCCTCACGAGAGATTGTGAAGGTGATCTGGGACACCCTGTATAGCATCTTCATCTTGGATAAAAAATGTGTTATCTAAAAAAAAAAAAAGATTGAGAAGTTTTTTATAATGGTATCAAACAGAAATTTGTTACCTAGTGTTTTTAGCTAGTGACATTTCATGTAAAGACATCTTAAAGAAAAATAGATAATTTATGCGCCAAAAATATTGCTGCGTTTGAAAACAAGTCTGTTTTTAGTAGTAGCGGAGATGAAGATTTCTTTTACGAGATTTTTATGAAAAAAATTATGTTCTAATACACAGCCGGTTATGAGCAGTAACATCTATACACTTTTCAATTTAGAGTCGAAATCGAAGGAGAGTCATATTCTTCGACAAATTTCTCTAATGAGAAATAAAAGTACAATACAACACTGTCTTCATCGAAAGCAGTATTTTAGTATAGAATAACAAATATATGTACCCTGTAAAAATCGTTTATCAGATGATACTTCTAGAAAACTCTTTTTGAAAAATAAAAAACTTATAAATAAGAGTATGAGTAAGAGAGATCGGGGCTATTTGATAAGTTGGCAAAAAAATCAGTTATTTCTACTGTTCTCTCCTAAATTGAATCAGTCAAACATCACCAAAAACAGTAAATATACACTGATTTTCAGTCATAAGTTACTGAAACTGCTCAGTGCTATACTTATAACTGATATCAGTGACTATTTACTGATTCACTTTAAGAAAGTTCTTTAACAGATTTCAGAATAAAGCAAGTAGAGATTTCAAAGACATCTTTGAGATGTTTAGGAATCTTGCTTGCTTGCTTAATTTTGTATTTTGTTACAAAATATTAGAAATAACCAGTTTTGCCAACCTATCCCTGTAGCCAACTAGCCCCAATCTGCCCTACTATACTTATATGTATACGTATAATTTTTATTATTTACGCAGCTATTTTACATATTTGTGTAAATTGCCTAAAAAAACTCTAAAAAACAATCTAGATGAATCGCATAACCTCATTTTTCATGTAGATGCTTTGAAAGCGAAATTATCTCATCCAAGATGGCTTATGAATATTCATCTCATGTGATGATTTTAAAGGCATCTAAGCGCAACACCAAACAGACGAAATCCGACGAGGCGAGGTGACGCGAGACGGACAAATGAATTCTTTTTTGCGTCGGGAGGGGAACGTTTTGTTTGGCCGCGGTAATGAGAAGACCCGTGCGCGGCGTCTTGCGCGACGTGGAAGCAATTGTAAATCGTTCCGCCGCTTTGTGGCACGAGTGTTAATTCGTGACGCTCGTGCGCGCGAATTCACCGGGTGTCCCGCTGTGTGCGAATCCGCAAAGGCGGTCGCATGCTCCTTTGTTCGCGAAACAATGCTGCGCCCACGAAAGCGACACTTCTCGGCGATTACGTCGCCGTGCCCGATATGATCGCGAAGCGTGAGCGCTCGTTCGATGTCGCGATTCGTTCGGCGCGATTCGAGAGTCCCTCTACACGCGAGTCGCTCGGACACCCGGTACACGCTTGGCGGTATCCGCGACCTGAGGCGTGCAGGTACAAGAGTTCGGACAAGTGGAAAGTTCACTAGGAAGCGCAAGCCGCCACGGCGTCCTTCTACGACTGACTACGCTCTGCTCGTTCCTCCACCCTCCCCCTTGGCTCCCACCATGCCCCCAACGACCCTGGTCGTCGTCGACACGCAATTACACGACAGCGATAAATTATTAATTAACGGCACGTACGCGTCCGTTGCTCGCGCGGGAACAGCGCCGCGCGACGTGCAAAATTATTTCAACCCTTCGCCGCCGAACGCGAGTGCGCCGCACGCTAGTGAAATTGCAGGTTTAATCAATAGCCCTCCCCCCTCCTGCCCGGCCGTAATTCACTCGACAAAATTAATCCCGATGTCACAATGCCGCAGTTACCGTATTTTCGCGATTTCGAGCGACGTGATTGACAGCTGCCCCCGTCGTTGACGCGCCTCCCGTCAATTTTAGCGCCGTGTTTGCGTAATAATAAGCGAGCCATCGCTCTCTCTCTCTCGCTCTCCCTCGTGGGAAACGGCCGGCTACCAACGCAGCGCGTTTCTCTACCGAATTTTTGCCGGCCGAAATCACCGAGTAATTTCGTCGTGAGGTGCTTGCGCACCTGCACACGCGCCTTGCAAAATTTCACCGGACAATTTGATGGGTTAAAGGTGCCGTGGAAACCGGCACGCGCGCCCGCCGCAAATGAAGGACCGCGCATTGCGCTGTCCATCATCGCGCTCGTGTGCAGCGCGTTTAACGATACTCCTCTCCAAGACCTCCGCGTTGCGCTTGTCGCGCTTCCGCGCGCATACACTTTCGCCGTAGGGCAGCCCGGGTCCTGGTTGGCCCGAGGGTCACGTTGGCCGTGTGTGCATTACGTAAGAATACCAGGTGTAACATTGCGCACAATGGCAATGAAAGAAAAATGCATGATAATTGAAACTGAAATGCATGATAATTGAAACATGATAATTTAAACATACAGTAAAAAAAATATAGTGAGGAATACCATAAAATTAGTAAGCGTTATAATTGTGGTAAAGATTACAATATAAGCATGGTTGAACCAACCATAAAAATTGTTTACTCTGATTTATGGTGATGTGAAACATAAATATAGTTGAGTTACGCGTATAAAATAGTACAATGAATGAACTATTTTATATAGTCAACGCAACTGTATTTATTCGCAAAAATTAGTAAATGTGTCTATATTTTTACCATTTATTTTACTATATACACATGATAAAAACGACAAAAAAAATAATTAAACATATAACTATCCTAAATAGCGAGTGTAATTATATGCATGATAAATTTGACTATATTTATAATTGTCAATTTACCATAAATGTAGTAAAGAGATCTCTATTGGACAAGCCTATATATTAAATTAAATGTAAGAAATAATATGTGAGAAATAATATGTGATAAGTAATAATATGTAAGATATGTAATAATATGTAAGAAATAATATGTGAGCGTAGCATGACAGACAGCGCACTGGACTATCATGCTAAGAAGTCCCGGGTTTCGATCCCCAGCAGAGCCGAACATTTTTCATGCACCACAGGCATATGAAAAGAAAGATCAACCACCACACGCTTGAACCGTAGCAAATAGGACTGGAAGAGGAGAGAAGAGAAAGAAATAATAATGTTACTACTAAAATATTAGTAGAGTTTCGTATACAACTATTGCGCATGTTAAAATCGTACTTTTAAATATGTTTCTTGTAACAATATTTTATGGTAAATTTTAATATACCAATATTTCATTTTATTTTATGTCAGCTATGTAAAATAATTGTACGGACTATATTTTATGGTTACCTTTATTATAAATTGTATGTTTAAGGTAACTATAAAAATATGGTTGACGCCAAAATTAACTATAAAATATAGTGAGATTATAGTTAATTCAATTATTTTTTTCTATCAGTGGGCAGAGGAATAGCCAGCTGAAGGCTACGCGACATTCAAATGCGCACCGAGAAAAAAATGTATATTTGGAACTATAATAGCATAGTAGAAAGATTTCAGTTAGGAATATCATTTTTAAAGGAAATGTCACCATAATGTTTGTAGTATTTATAATATAATTGACCCATGTAAAACTTTTACCAAGAATTATAATTATTTGAAACATAAAGTATAGTAAAGTAGCAAATATTGAATGTTAAGAGTGATTAACTATTTTATATAGTCAATACAATCGGAACATTTGGCAGATATAAGTACATGTAACTATATTCCCAAAGCGTGCTTTACTATATACGTAGAGTTGTCTGCTGAAGGACAGAATGATTTTTCTCAATGTTCCTTTTAGAACGCAGGTACTTTTCCTTGAGTATCGTTTAAATCGAAATGAATGAAATCACGGTATTAAAAAACAGAAAAACTCATTTACAACCAGCCAAATACATTTACGAGTCTTGAAATTTAATATTACTATTTTCCATTATGAGTGAATAACTGACGTGCTATTAGTTAGGATAAATTTTCCTGCAAATGTATGATGCATTGTTTCGGGCAATAAAAGCAGTTTTTATTCATAAAATAATTGAAATTGAACACATGGACAGACGAGGTAAAGTTGACCACTACTTAGCGGCTAGCAGATACTTATTGTGGAAACTTCTCGCGAAGGCCCCGCAACTATTAATACATATTTTCTTATGTCACCTCCTTAT